TGAACAGCTGTAAATGACAACACAAACTGCGAACAGCAGGGACTGGAACGCCTTCCACACACATCCCTGCACTGATCCTCGGCAAATTAATTCAAATAGTTGCTGGGGATCTGGGGGAGAAGCTCACTAATTCCGTGAAAGAAGAAAGGAAGCTGTTTGAAGCAGAGCCCAGCTGATTTGGGGGAAGGGAGAGAGGGGAAAGGGGGAAGGATGGATGAGGGGAAGGCGCTGATAACCTGGAGGAAACCTGGATTCCCTGGGCTTTAGGGAAGGAATTGATAACCTGGAGGAAACCTGGATCCCCTGGGCTTTAGGGAAGGAATTGATAACCTGGAGGAAACCTGGATCCCCTGGGCTTTAGGGAAGGGTGAGAGCCCTGCTGAGCCCATGGGGAGCAGGGCCAGGGGCAGAGATCCCCCTCCCCATGCGCTGCTCAGGGTGGGAGCGCTCCCCACGCTGCTCTGGGTTTGGCTGGAGATGTTTGCCACAGTTTCCATAAAGATTAAAGACCTCTCCTGCATTTGTTGAACAAGCTCAGAATGTGCCTCTGGGTGCGAGGCGCTGCTGAAAGCAGCACTTTGAATGCATCCATCTCTGGAACATCCTGACTCAAACAGCTTATTAAAAGCCTTCCCCAGACAGATCAGGCTAATCAGAGCACCGGCCTGTGTTGTTTGCTGCATTCCAAGTGGTGATCCTGGCCACGAGCTCGTCTCCACACCTGCAGGTCCTGCTGTCCCCCCAGCACAGGGGAAGAGCAGAAGGTTTTAACAGTGGGAAAAGTCTCCCTGTGGTCAGCCCTTCCCTGGCACCTCTGGAGCTGCATCCAGACCAGTGCATCCCCTTGGAGAGGCACCTGGATCTCCTGAGAATGAAGTGGTAACCCTAGATTTATATTCTAGGCCAGAGTCTTTCCTCCTACAATCAAAGTCTTGTCACTGCCCTCCCAGCCTCCTGCTCCTGGAGGAGGTCAGAGGTACCAGAATTCCAGGCATGGATTTTACCTCCCTGCCTCATGCTGGACTAGGGGACACCTGGGGACCCCTCACTGCTGAAAGCATTTCATGGGGGTGACAGGGACATCCCTGTCCTCAACAGATTTGGCTTCCCACATCAGCCTGAATATCCCTTTTCTCCCAGGCTGGGATTGATACCAGGATGGGGAAGGAAAAAAGGGTCAGTGTGGAAGAGCCAGGAGGCTGAGGATAAAGGAACACTTCAGACACGTACAGTGCTGGAGGATCAGAGATCTGTACCAGCTGTGGGGCAGGATTTGAGTCCCCCTGATCCATAAGGATTTAGTAAACCCAGCACTTGGACAGGACAGTGATTTACATCAGCCAAATGTTTCAAAGCCTTCCTTGGAGTCATTTCTGGTTTGTCCTTGCCTTAGAGGACATCCATGAGGTGACCCTGCATGTCTGCCACCCCTCTGTTCCCAGGGCACTCAGGAAACTCCCATGGGATCAGCTCTGTGCATCTCTCTCTGCTTTGCCACATGTTGAGAAAAGCAAACCAACCCTTTGCATTTGAGTTCCAAAAGACCTTCAAATATCCTTTGAAAGATTTCAAGTATTTTGAAAGCCAAAAGGCCTTCCAAAACATTTTCAGTCTGGGTGAGCTGAGGGTGCTCAGCCTGGAGAAGAGAAGCTTCAGGGACACCTGATTGTGACCTTCCAGGACCTGAAGGGAGCTGCAGGAAAGGTGGAGAGAGACTCTTTAGAAGGAATGGAGTCACAGGACACAAGGTCTGAGCTGAAAGATTTAGATCAGATATTTAAGGAAAGAATTCCTCCCTGGGAGGGTGAGGAGCTGGGGCTGCCCCTGGATCCCTGGCAGTGCCCAAGGCCAGGCTGGACACTGGGGCTGGAGCAGCTGGGACAGGGGAAGGTGTCTCTGCCATGGCAGGAGTGGGACAGGAGGTTTGTAAGATTCCTCCGAACCCAAACCAGTCTGGAATTCTGTTGGAGCAGCAGCTGGCAGTGGGAGATGGGCTCCTCCCCACCCTGCCCTCAGCAGAAGCTGCCCAGGCTGCTCTGCTGGGACTCTGCAGCCTCAGGCACAGCCCACCTCCATTTGTCACTGTCACCCACAATCATCCTGTGCTCTGACACCGAGCCAGCCTCATGGAGAAATGAAGCCAAGGTTTATTTAGCAAGACTTAGGGGCACACTTCCAATTATAAGTTTGGAAACAAAAGTTCCAAGTCAAACAAACACAAAACTCAACCAGCCGGTGGGCAGCGAGGAAAATCCTTTCTGGCTGCTTAACCTCTCCTCCTCTGAGCTCCTCAGACAAGCCACAGCCACCAGACCTGCTGCTTTCCAAAACACCCTACAGCTGGGGGCTCCTTGAGCCAATTTGCAGCACCAGTGAGCAGAGCCTTGCCTGGATCCTGCTATTCCATATTACTGCCTCTTTTTCCTCCAGCTGTCCCTTTCTCCTTAATTTTTTTAATTTTTTTTCCTTTTCTTCCCCTTCCCCCACAGAAACAAGCATTGGTGATTTTCTACTCCACACCAGGGCTGACCAGCTTTATTCCATTTAAGCTAGGACACAGACTTGTTTCCCAAGTTCTTCCCACCTGCAGGATTTCAGCATCCACTTGTACAGTTCCCTAATCCCAACAATAATCTGAAGTTTAGCTCAGTAACTGAGTACAGACACCACAGAGCATTGCCCTGCTCTGACCATTAAACATCACAAGGAAACATTACAAGCAAACACCACCTGTGAAGCTGCTTTATGAGCTCCTGATCTCTCTAAGTGATCTCTGCCGTGGTCTGTGAGTTGTTGGTGGCCACAGCTGAGCCAGGAACAAACTCTTTGGGGCGAGTTCTCCCTTCCCAGCTCTGGCAGGGACTGCTGAGGGTTCAGTCCAGCTGTGCTGGGAGAACTCTCCTTTTACTGGACTCCTGCTTGTGATGCCTTTTCCCCCTCTCACTTCAGCCAAGCAGAGGCTGGGTCCTGTTCACATCCTGCCTTTCCTTTCTGAGCCTCTTTGCCTTGATCTCTTGTCCTCAGCAAGGACCAGCAGCTCCTGACTGGCTGCTGTCACTCTGCAGGGTGGTGCTTTGGTCACGGCTCTGTGCTCTGCTCCTTGCATCCTTCCATGCCTCACTTCTGCCCTAGGAAGCCTTAAAAACCTCCTGGAGTGCTCAGCTCCCCACAGACAATAGGCAGGGATTCTGCAGTCAACAATTCCTCTCCAAACATTCCCATTTATCTCCTCTCAGATTTGCCAGTGAACACAACACCTAAGGCAGACTCCCAGCACCCAGCTGGTCCCTTCAGCTGCGAGCAAAGAGTTCCTTCTGCACCTTCCTTCTGGATCTGTCTGCCCTGGCTGAGCAACGGGAGCCAGTGGGAAGAGACAGAGTGTCTCCAGAAGGTGTTAATGGCATTGAACCCCAGGATTATTGAGGCTGGAAAAGGCATCCAAGATTATTGAGTCCGAGCTGTGCCCAATCCCCACCGTGTCCCCAGCCCAGAGCTCTGAGTGCCACCTCCAGGAATTCCATGGACACCTCCAGGGATGGGCACTCCAAACCTCCCTGGGCATTTCCAAGGCCTGAGCTCCCTTTCCATGGGGAAATTCCTGCTGCTGTCCCCCCTGAGCCTCCCCTGGCCCAGCCTGAGGCCGTTCCCTCTCCTCCTGTCCCTGTTCCCTGGCAGCAGAGCCCGACCCCCCCGGCTGTCCCCTCCTGCCAGGGACTTGTGCAGAGCCAGAAGTTCCTCCTGATCCTCCTTTTCTCCAGCCTGAGCCCCTTTCCAGCTCCCTCAGACCTCAGGACTCATTCTCTGGACCCTTGTCACCCTAGGGGTGATGTGACAGCTGTCCCCTGATGCTGCCAGGCTCCCTCATTCCTCTTGTTTCTATCCTGGGGCAGAAGCACAAGTCCTGTCCAGAGCCAGGTCCAAACCTCAGATATGCAGAAGCACCTCCCTCTTCCACACAATTCACCTCAAGGCTGTTCTCCACACCAAGGTTTTATGTCACAGACCCAAATTTACACACAGAATCACAGGGCTCCCTGGTTTTGGGGTGAAAATGGGAAAGCAAAGGAATCCTCAGTTCTCAGGGAAAGTGCTCTGCTCCCAGGCAGGGGAGGTTCAGAGGACACTGTCCCCTGGGCCTGTGTGCACAGGGTGAGCACACTGCACCAAAACCCTTCTGACAGCCACAAACCAGCCCTGCCTCAGCCAAGGGCCCTTTCCTTCCCAGCTGAGCCCACAGTTGCCACTGGCTTCCTTCAGAACCTTCCCATGTGGCACAGGGCAGGAAATGCCACCAGAACCTCCCACGAGCAGCTCCTGAGTGGAACAGGGCACATCTTTGTGGAGGAGAATCCCACATCCAGCCCCACAATGATGGAGAATCTGCCACACCCCACTGAAGCAGGACAATTAGCCATCCATGGAGCACTCAATAAATCAGAACAGTGTCTGCAGCCAAGAGAATGCAATCCCTGGGCCACCAGGAAGATCAAGGCAAAAATAATTCAATTTTTTTTTAATTTAAAGAAGCTGAAAGCAGCAACAGATGTGTTTTGTAGGCCCTAATTCCCAGGCCATTGCTCTTGGAGATGTGTCTGAGCTGCTGGGATGCCCTCTGGGTCACCCTCTGCACTGTCCCAGTGCATCCCTGCAGTTCACCTGCCTGAACGGGGCAGCCCCAACCCTTTGGAATTCTGTGTCCTCAGCTGCCATGTGCAGGGAGCCGGGAATGCCTTCCAGCAGATGTGTTTTGTAGGAAACACACAGCTCAACACCAGCTCCGGCTCCAACCTGCACTCCTGCCTCAGCAGTTGTGAATTTTTAAAGTGCCTGGAGAGAAGAGCTCAGCAGAAAGCTGAAAGAATCATCAGCACCCATCCCTGCACTCCCCTGGCTGCCTTCTAAAGCCATTTGCCATCCTGATTTTAGCTTTACAAAGGCTGCTCTTGCCCGGGGTGAGGTTTCTGGCACGGCCCAGAGGGGACAGAGAGAGCAGCACTTACCTGGGTTGCTCTTGGAGGTGCGCACCGGGGTGTAATGGTTTTTGGAAGAGGTTCTGACTGGGGTGTTTTCTTTGGGGGAGGTATCTATGGCCGAGATAGTCTCTCTTTCACAGTGTCCGATTGGGATTGGTCCCTGCTGCCTTAGGATGTCGGCCAGAGCCCTGGGGAGACAGAAAAACAAAAGGGGGGGAAAAAAATGTATTTTCACACAGCTAAAATTCAGTATTTGTACTTGCACAGTCCGTGAATCCAGGAGCAGCTGGGTTTCTACAGTAAACAGAAAAAAAACAAACAACAAAGATAGCAATAATAATAAAATTCCAAAATATGGCTTAAAAGCTCTGTTTCTTTCAGTGTATCTGCTGCAAATATTTCACACTTGCCTGGCTATTGTTTGGTATCTCATCTGCTCTCTGTAATTCACTTCAGCCCAGGGTTATGGTGCCTCTCCATCATTTCCTGCTCCTGGCACAAAAAGCTCTGCTGGCCCCAGCCCTGGCACCTCCTAAAGGTGACACCAAAACTGCCCTGCCCAAGCCAAACTCCCTCCAAACTGGCTCAGATCAGGACTGTGATCCCCACATCCTGAAATCCCTGGTTTTTCTGCACCAGCAGTGCTGGGAGTGGTTTTTAAAGGAGAACTATGAGCCAGAAGAATGGATTAACCAACTTCCAGGGGTTAATGTCAGCACAGCTCTGAGCCTCCCTTGAGCTCTGTGCTCATCAGGGATTGCTTTAAGGGCTGAATTCTCCCTGATATTCCCAGGAAAAAGCAATGCCACCCAGCTCAGCTGCAGCCAGTGTTTCCCCCTTGGATACTCCATGATTTTTTCCTCTCTGTGGATACCATGGACACAGTGAAATAATTATTGTGTGAAGTGCTCTGATTTTCCTAGGGTGGCCCCAAGTTCGCTCCTGAGCCTTAGGAAAAGCAGGGATGGGGTGGCTCGTGTGGGCTGTAAGGGACAGTGGCACATGAAAGCTGATGGAGTTTGAGCAGCTCCTTTCTCCTGGCACGGGGAACATGCCTGGAGTCACCTCAGATCCCAGGGGAGGCGTCAGGAGATGTCCCCTCACTGCGCATTAACGAGGGGGATGCTGGTGTTGCTCATATCCACTTGGCATCCCTTAAATGCCACATTTCTGGGCTTTCACATGAGAAATAGTTTGGGACCTGGGTCAGATCCATTTTCCAAATCATTTCCTCTCCAGACTCCTGTCCCTGTACATAATGGATTGCAATACTAATGTGCTCCACAGAAGGAACTCTTGGAGGATCTCAGAGGCTCCCAAGGAGGATCACATTAGTTCAGCACCAGCCTGTACAGAATGAGGATATTTTTACCCTTTTTTTGATTATTTATTGGTTGCAGAGAGAGCAGACCTGGAGGCTGTACCCAGCCATGGGATATCTGGGTGTGCACACAGACTGATCCTGAAGGAATTGCTGTTTGCAAGGACAGGAGAGCACAGACTGCGCTGAGCCAGGCCCAGAGGGAGGTGAAGGTGGCCATGAGAGATGGGTGCTGAGCCTTGTGCCAGGCCAGGACTCCTTTGGTTTGCTCCTGGGGAAAGCAGGAACCGGTGTTGGGTGAGGAACTGGTATTGAGGAACTGGTTTTTGGTGAGGAACTGGTTTTTGATGAAGTGGTGTTTGCTGTTGCCCCAAAGCTGCTGGATTCCTTCCCTCAGGCTGGCAAAGAGCTGTGGGTGCCCCCACCATGCCCAGCCATGTGTCCATAACTGGTCCCCACACTACAGGACACTTCTGACACTTTGGCTCCTTGCCCAAGGTCACGGAGAATAGGAGTGGCAGAACAGCTTGAGGTGGGTCCTGAGGCTCCTGCCCCTTGTGACAGCACAGGAGGAGAGGATTCATTCACCCCAGTAACCCTGGAGGCTTTTCCAGGCCAGAACCTGCCCCCTGCACCCAGCCCTGCTGCCTGGGGAGGATGGGGAGCCCAGTGAGCTCTGCCTGTTGGGCACCACCCAGCACATCCAGCTGGAGACATCTCTTTTTCACAGGCTGGCAGACCTGAGCCCTTGGTGGGCATCTCCAAGGTGTACCAGGAATCAGAGGAGCATTTCATGGCATCTGCAGGGCAGAAGCTCTGAGAGCCACGTTCCTACTGCACACATTTGCATCAGCACTGTTGTTTACTGGCCCACAGTGGCTTGGGCTCGCTCTGAACACTCGTCCCAGACACTGCGAGTGTCGAGAGTGCAATCACCCAGAGAACACTAAAGCAGGGTGGATAACTCCATTCATTCCAGATGTTTTCATGGAGGCAGCCAGGGAGGGGCTTGGAGAGGGCAGGGTGGGATGGGGCACACACGGGAGCTGGAGGAACTGGGGGTGTGGAAATGGGACAGAACAAACCGGTTCTGCCCCAAACTGAACGTGTTTAGCCTGACCAGAAGAGGCTAAAAGAGACCCTCCTGTGGCAAAGGGGACAAACAGCTTGTGGTTTGACAGGAAAAATCACAGTGGGACAGAAAAACACTGGGATCCACAGGGGCTGAGGGGTCTCCACCCTTGGAGATTGAATTCAGCTTGAAAAAGCCATGAACAGTTCCCTCTACTGAAGTTTGTTTGTTTAAGCAGCAGGAGGGACCTCCACAGCTCCCTCCCAACCTGATTTCTGCTCTGATGGAGTCTAAGACCACCTTTCACTGCAGGTCAGGCTGCTTCTCCCCATCCTGCTGCCCTTCCTCCTGGGATTGTTACTCCCTGAGAGGGGCTGTGAGAACACCTTCCCTCCTGCACGGAGAGTTTACATCTCCTCACTATAAACAACCGAGGTAATTCAAGTGAATATTCCCTGGAACAACCAAAGCTGGTGAGGAGAGTCTGAGTCCTCACAGACATTCCCTACCTGAGAGCTGAACCTGCTGCCCTCCACGAGCACAAAACCAGGACAATATTTCATTCTTTGATCCTTGCCACAAACAACTCCACAGCTGAGAGCTGCACCTGGCAGAACAGTTTAAATCCTTTTTTGGTTTTCATCCTGAAGAGATGGTAGCAAGAGCCTCTCTCTGGGCTGGTTGCTGGTCACAGCCTAACAAGGAAATGATTTTGGGTGCCAGACACCTGTAAGGGAGGAGACCTTTACTCCCAGACATAGTGAAGAAATCCCAGAAAAGTGATGCCTGCCCTGTCAGACCGTGCATGAGATAAATTGGACAGAAGTGTCCAAAGCAGCCCTGCCTGGTTTGAGTGTGTGCCTAAAGCCATGTGAGCTCAGCAGTGCTGGAGGTGTCACCTTCTCATCCCCTAAATTCCCCAGTCTGAGTGTCCTGAGTGCTCATTCCTCACCCTTCTCGTGTCTCACAGAGAGAAAAAAAGACTGCTCAGAAGCAGCAGAACAAAACATTATAGGTGGAGGAGAAAGCCCAACTTGGATGGAGCTGGTTCGTTCCGTGCCAATTCAATCACGGTGCTGTGTGGGATCCAGCTGATTTCCATAAAGCCCTGAGGTGGTGGAAGGTCAGTCCCACTTGAAAGAGGAGGGATTTGGTTGGTGACAGTCCCTTGGGTCCAGCTGGCTCACTGCCCACTGCAAAGCTCCGGGAGAACAGACTCACTGGAATATTTGGGTCCTGTGTGTGCAGCCATTTGGGTACAATGAGTCCCACTGATGTCAGCAGCATCCTAATCACCTGCACAAGGATATGAGACACTCCAGAAACCTTCCTGTGACGACACATCTCTTATCTGAGGAACACAAACCTCCCTGGCTGGAGCGTGTCACCGTCCCTGCCGGAGATAAGGATTTGTGACACTTTTCCCTGGCGTCATCTCCGTGCCAGCGCTGAGGTTTCGCTCCAGAGCAGCCACAGGGCCAGCCAGGGCACTGCTCCAGGGAGCTGGACTGGCCTCTGGGAGGGAAACCATTCAAAAATGAATGTGTCCCGTGGCTGGGCAGCCCAGGCCAGGCTCCCAGGGATGGCTCCTGTGGCACTCTGGACAAATTGAGGACTTTGGGAAGAAAGCCAGTGGGATGAACACCGGGGCTGCAAGGCAAGGAAGGAGCTGTGGCTGTTTTCAGAAGGAAAAATCAAGAGGATTTGGTGTAAATCCAAAGGAATCGAGGGGGTGGATGGAAACAGTGGGGCAGCAAGGCTGGGCATCAGCCTGGAAGGAGAAATGACAGACTTTGATCCCAAAATGTGGCTTTGGAGTCAGGGAGAAGGTGAAGCTGCAGGGCTGGGAGGGACCAGCTCACTGCAGCTCACCCTGCCCCTCTAACCCAGCCCCGGACCTGAATCTGCTCCCTGAATTTCCCATGAGGGAACAGTAGCTGGAGCACTGCTGTCCCCCGTCCCCAGCCTTTCTGGGAAAGTATTGTCCCATTTTCCCCATATCCACACATTCCCAACACCAATTACTTATCTGAGTGTGGACACAGGTGTCCCTGCTGCTGAAAACAAACGGGAGCTTTGGTGACAGCTCCACCAGGCTGGCCTGAGGGAAGTGAGATTGGAGTGAGGGGGCTGTGGATGCTGGATGGGAGAGGAAGAGCTCCCTGTTTCCAGCAGTGCAGGGGCTACACGCTCAAAACTCCACTGATTTGCCTTCTGAAAATCCCCTCTCGTGCAGACCCTAAAAAGGGGGTGCTAGGAAACAGAATTTCCTGTTCCAAGCACCTGTGAACTTGGGGAAGAATGGAAGGAGAATGACCAAATGGGTCTGGCAGAGCAGAGTGAAAGGAGCAGTGCCTGGCTGAGCTGGAGCTGCTAAAAGCAGAGCGGGGATGGAGCTGGTGGCAGAACTCCAATCACTCCAGCACAGCCAGGATTTCACTACAAGTTCTTCCAAAAAAGCCAGGTTAAGGACTCCCCTATGCTCTGTTACTAACTGGGGAAGAAAGAGGCAGTTATTCCGGGAGATGGATTTATCCAGCCTGGAGCCAGCTCACCTGGAAGGGACAGCTCTCTCCGAGGGACAGCATTTCGGTCACCAGCCACTCTCACAGAGGGCGGCTGTGCATTATTCATGGCTTGGCTCCTGTCCCCACCCCTGCTGTGTGCCTTGGGAAGCTCCAAACGCTTCCAAACTGCAGCTGGACAGCCCTGGGGAGCTCCCTCATTCCAGGTGCTGCCAGCCAGGTCCTGTGTGCCCAGGGCTGGACAGTCCTGGGAGGTTCCCTCATTCCAGGGAGGTTCCCACATTCCAGGTAACCCTGGCACCCCCTGGGCTGTGTCCCACAGCCTCTGGCAGGGCAGAGGTGGCCTCAGCCATCCCCCCCTGCTCCTGCTGGGCATCACCCTGACCATGGCCAGGCCTTATCTCCACAGGTCACACTGCAAGCTGATCCATCAGGGAATTGCTGCTCTCCCTCGAGAGGCTCTGCCTTGTTTGTGGACGTGCAGGGGCTCAGCAGAGCCAGAGCTGCAGCAGTCCCAGGCCAGCTGAAGAGAGAACTGGGCTCTGCACTGCCAGGAGCAGCAGCAGCCCGTCCCTCGGAGCAGGAACACCAGGAATGGGTTTTCACATGCCTGAACAGGAGTGTGGTGGATGCCTGGCAGAGCTCAAAGAGCTCTCAGGGACGCACTGGGTGGGACTGTTGGGGTGTCTGTGCAGGGCCAGGGGTTGGACTGGATGATCCATGTCAGTCCCTTCCACCCTGGGATATTCCATGAGTCTGGGAGTCCGTGTGTGTGTGTGAATTCACCCATGGAGTTAAGAAGGGAAAATACTAAACACTGGGATACCTTTCCACAAGTGAAGCATTTGCACCCAGCCCAAGTGAATATTCATTCTCAAAAATGCACATTGCAAGGAAAAATCAGATGTCTCCTGAGAAATCTTAATGTCAAATACAACTTGGGGAGCTCCTGGAATTCCATCCGGCTCTAAAGACAACCACTTCACACACCTCACACCAATGTCCAAACTGAATAATCTCTTGCTATTGCTGGGATGTGACCAAGGAATTTCCAGCAGTGACAGAGCTGAAAATGGGTGAGCCCAGTTCCTCTGAACACAGCCGGTCCAAAGAGAACAAAACTGTTACGTAAAGATTTGGTAATTAAAAGCTTAAATCGAACCTTTCCAAGGGATGTTTTCTGCAGAGAGATGTCACCCTGAGCAGAAAGTGTCCTCAGCAAGGGCAGGACCTGCACCTGAGCCATGGTGGGGCTGCTGGGGACAGTGAATGGCACGAGAGGATCGGTGCCCCCAGGTGCCACTGAGGCTCGGGCTGGCTGCAGGAGGAGCAGCTCCTGTGACCCCCCTGCCCCAGCTCCCACCCTCTCCCAGCCACCTGCAGCCCCTTCTCTTCCCAGAAAAAATGGGAGACTCCCTGGGAAGAGAAGAAAGACATCAGGGGTGCAGGGCAGAGCGGGAAGCTGCGCAGGGCAGAACAGAGCACTGCTCCTGAGCACAGAAAGGAGAGGAAACAAAACCAGCAGGTCCTGCTGGGTATGAGAGGCTGTAGAACAATGGCCCAGCTCTTTATCCTGCTCCTGCCTGTGCTGGGCATCCTCAGGCACAAACACAGCGGCAGAACACGGCGCTCACGCGGCTTTGGGAGCGCACGTGGGGAAGGACCAGGCACAAAGGGTTTTACACCAAATCCTCTGCTCAGGATTTGGGGTAAAAAGCTCCAGTTAAGGGGCTTTGAACTCACTGAAGAAAGCTGCACTCTGAAGAGCCCTCACAACAAAGGAGGCTGTGGTGAGAGCCAGAGCACAGCACGGCATTTCTTGTGGAAAAATTCCGTGTTTATCCACCTGAGGAAGGAGATATCTGAGCCCTCCAAGCAATGCAGTGCACCCAGATCTGAGGAAACACAGCCAGCCCGTGTGAGTGGGGGCAAAGGCAAGCAACAAACGCCCTGATCTCATTTCCCGAGAAAGTTCAGATCTTATGCGAAACAGAAATGTTAAAAGACATCTGATCTCCAAAGGCAGAGATCAACTGCTACTACTTAAGGATGTAAGAGATTACAAAACTAAAAGAAATAGAAGTTCAGAGCTACACTGGATTCCCTCGACACCTTGTGATGGAGTTGGACTAATAGAAAAAGTTAATTAGCAAGCAGGAAAATATCAAATAAATGGGAATTAGAGACACGGAGATGATTTGGTGGAGGCAGCGCAGTTTCTGAGCCTGGCCTCTCGTAATGGGAGAAGTTCAAAGGGAAAGGAGAAGCCCAGAAGCATCCAGAGGAAGGCAGTGGCCAGGCAGCCTCTGTGCTCCTACGGAGTCAATCTCTTCATAAAATAGACTCAGAGAGGAAAACAAGGCAAAAAAACCCCCAATTATCAAACTGCAAACCACGACCAGAGCTCCAGACTGGAGCTTTCCCAGTGCGGGGAAGTGAAACAAAAGGAAGAATGTTTTGTACAGGTACATGCACATAGATACACACCTGGCCTGAATTTCGGATCTGGACAATTCACTGTGCAAACAGGACAAGATCCAGGTGTTCTCCCTGCTTAGGAGTTACCCCAAATCCAGCCAGGTGCAGGGTTGGTTTGAAACACAGCTAGTTCTGAGTAACTTCTCTGAGGTCACAAGTGGAAGATGTCCCTGCCCATGGCAGGAGGTGGAATGAGATGATCTTTAAGGTTCCTCCCAGCCCCATCCATACTGTGATTTCTGTGATTTTATGGCTGCACCTGTCTTGGTTTTTCTTAGTTCAGTCTGACCTGTGGTCCTTTATTCTGTGCCTGTGAGAGGGACAGGGCACTTCAGAGGAGAGACTCAGAAACCACCAGGATTAAACAACTCAAAGCGGGGCAAAGAGCAGCTGAAAGGCACCCGAGTGAGTCCGAGCAGAGTGAAAAAAGGCAGAGCATAAAAAACACATCAGTGCAAAGAGACTGAAAGCAGGAACAGCATCCAAGAAAGAAAACCTTCTGTAGAGTCCCTGTGGCCAGGTGTGTTCACAGCACTCCCTCCCTGCCCTGGGGAAGGATGGAGTCTGATTGTTTGGCTCCAGCAGCCCTCGGCAGCAGAGAGCAGAGCTGGAGGAGCTGCCTGTGATCCCCGTCTCAAACAGCGGGGCTGAGAAAGGCGCTCCTCAGAACCTGAAAGCAGCTCCCTCCAGCAACCCCTCAGCAAGCACAGGGCCCCGGAGCTGCGGGGAGCTGCAGCCTGCAGGAACACAAACCCTGCTGCGTTTCAAGGTAGGCTCACACAGAGCAGATCCTTGGATCTGTGGGCAAACAGATCCATTGTCGGTGATTCCTGCTGGAATTCAGAGCCACGGAGCAGAAACGACCAGGAATGGATGGATTTAGCTGTGGTCTCTACCTGGGGAAAGGATGTTTGTTTATAAAGGCTGTCAGTTATCACTCACAGAGCAGGAGATGCAGAGAGCCTATCGAGAATGGCAGCACAGATATCTTCCCTCTTTGCAGCAGCACAGATGCTGTGGGAGGAGGGTGAAGTGAAGCACAGCACAGAGCCTGTTTCCCTTCTCCCTTTGCCACCCCTCAGACACACTCCATGCAGGGACAGACAAGGCCTTTTAGCAGCACTCAGAGCTGGTTTGCTGGGAAAAATCCCTGTGCTGCTTCCCAGGAGAGCAGCTGGGCTCCCACCAGTGCCCCAGGGCCAGCACTGCCACTGTGTCCCAGTGGCTTCAGCTGGCCAGTGGGATACACTTGGGGTATTTCAATCCTGAGCTGCTGACTATCCAGGCTCCAATCTGTGCACTCCCAGCTCGGCAGACAGTGCTGCTGAGGCTAAGCAGGGGTCGTGGAGCAGTGCTACATCTGTGAATTATTTTTGTTCTCTAGTGTGGGGATGCAGGGTCATGGCCACGGAATGAGAACATTCTGTGTCACCCCTTTTTTTCTTGCTGCAGAAAAACTCACTCAGCTTTGGAAAGAACCAGCTGATATTCCCTGCTCAAAGATTCCCTAACTCATCCCCATACTGAAAGTAAAGCAAACACTTCTTAAATTTCACTTAAGAAATGCTGGAGAAAAGAAAACAACCCTGGCAACGAGACCAAAACAAACCGTCCTCACCAACGCGTGAGAGAGCATCAGCACACACAATATGGGGTGTCATTTTCAGAAACCAGCCCCAGCTCCTACCTGGAGCCCAGGTAACCCCTAAAGCAAGAGGCAGCTCTATATGGCCAGGCTGAAAAATCCTATAATTACAAAAATAAAAAGAAAAAAAGAAAAAAGAAAATCAGTCCCACTGAAAGCATTACAAGCATTTCTGTAAAATGGGAATATTTCAGCTCCTGGTTTTCAAAGCACTTCCACTTAACTGCTGCTAGAAATGACTGTCTCAGCGACTGCCACTGCTGAGCCCAGAATCACAGCAGTGCCTGTGCTTTAAAGGGATGTGGCAGAGCCTGGAAACAGGAGCAAATTCCAGCTCGGAGCTGCACACACAGCTCTGTGTGCACGGCCAGCCCTCCCTTCCCCGGCAGAGTGACAGCTCTCCCATGAATTTGTAAACCCTCCTATCATCCAAAGACATTAAATGAGCCCTGCCTCCCTCAAAATGTTCTTTCTAAGTGAGTTCATAAGGATTTTCTGTAAAAGCTGGCTGAGAAATGAGCAGAGGGATAATATCCACACACGGCACTGCTCTGTGAGCGTTTATGAGGAAGTAAAATTTACAGTGCAATCCTGCTCGCGGTGAAGTGCAGGGAAGTCCTGGTTGATCTTCCCTGCCCGTGGGACACCAGCCCAAGAGGCTTTTTCCAGCCCCCTGTACCAAGTTCTGTTCATCTGCTGCTCTCCTCTCGCAGAGGACACACACTGAGGGTTAATGCACTCGCCACCACCACAGAGAATTGCTCTGGATGTTACACCTCGCTCCAGCTGACACAACCTCAGACAGACAGAAATATCCAACCCCATCCTATTTTCCTCCTCCCCTGTTTTACCCCTCAGCAGCTGCCAGAGACAAAGCCAGACCATCCCTCTCCTGGTGTTCACATTCTGCTAGAGCACCGGGAGCGCTGAGCCCGATGCAGGAGATGCACTTCACAATATTTAAACCCTTGTCTGATGTTGATCAAGTTCAGGTAACACAGCTCTGAAAGGTATAATCTTTTACCAGCTACCATATTATAGAAGTCAATCAACTCCTTAAAACGCTCTGGAAGTCAAGCTTCCCGAGCACTCAATCTGCCATTCATATTTCTACACACAGGTGAATCATTTCACCAGAACTTATCTAAATAAAGCAAAGCAAGCATCAAAGAAATGAAAACATCAGGAAGAATCCAGACAAGTCTGGCAACACTGGCTCTGATTTCCAAGGGTGAAGGATCCAACCCTGCAGTAGGCTGGAGCTGGAGCAGAAGTAACATATGGACATCCAACCCAGATTTCCAAATTTAGTGTGAAGATAAGGCCCAGGCAAAGTTGCCTTGAAGCCAGAAGAGCTGGGCAGCTGGGGAACCATCCCTTAGTTAACAAAAGACTTAAAAGAGCTGATTTTCTGGCTAAGCCACTTGCAGGACCCTCACCTGTACACAGTTGTGTGCAGTTTTTAACACCGTGAAGTTATATCCTTGCAGGGACCAGGGGCAGGTGGGATTTGGAATGGAATATGTGGGCCAGATCCTCAGCAAATGTAAACCAGCCTCACTGCAGGGAGAAGTCTAAATAAAACACATCTTCCCAAATAAATAAAAACTGCGTCACTCGTCTCTTTTTCCCTTGTAAAAATGTAATATTCCTACCCCCAGTCTCTGTTGATTGCAGCTGAAGTTCAGCCTTAAAAATATGGTCAATGATTTCAAGAGTTTTGATTAAAAAATCCTCATTAAAATAATTTTTAGGAGGTATTATCTGCTAGAGCTAAGGTCTTTCCCTCTGATTCTCACCACTGTTCTTCTAAAGGAGCCTCTCACCAATTTTTATGTTCAGACACAGGCAGCTCTCGGATTCACGGCACGCAAGCAGCACTCATCGTTTGGAGGGACTTTTTCATCATAAAATAAATATGAACTGAGAGAGAACACTCATTTGTCCAAAAGGAGGATTGCTAGAGACGCTCGAGCTTTTGCTTTGAAGCAGGATTTTCTGTGCCACGTTCCCTGTCATGAGCGCTGTGGAACACCGCTGCCGAGGGGACACCGAGCCGCCTCTCCAGGCGAGGACAGACTTGCCGGGATTTGGAGAGGGAGCCGAATGAAACAGGGAATGTGCGGAGCTCTGCCTGCCACCAGCGCGTCCCCACACAGCCCCGGGCAGCACCCGGGGCTCCAGAGCCATCCTCTCCACACTTCCCAAACTTCTCCCTGGCCGGGCAGGGCAGGACCCGCAGGTCCGAGCGGCTCTGCTGCCCCTGGGGCGTGCAGGGGGAGCACTGGGGAGGGGGAGATGGGGGAGTCTGGGGGCTGCTGAGGATCCCAGGGGCAGGAGGGGAGTGCAGGGGACAGGAGGGATGTAGGGGGGTCCCGGGGGCAGGAGGGGAGTGCAGGGGATAGGAGAGCAAGCCGGGATGCTGG